CCCCTCCCTGACAGATTCAATAATGCAAAAAAAACTCAGAAGCTCTTAATTTGTAAAACTGAATCAAGGAGTTGGGGTGCCTGGGTGGCTCAGTCGGTTAAGCATCCGACTCTTGATCTCAGCTCAGGTCATGATCTCACGGTTTGTGAGTTTGAGCACCGTGTCGGCCTCCACGCTGTTGCTTAGGATTCTCTCTCTCTCTCTCTGTCCCTCCCCTGCTCTTATGCATGTGCTGTCTCCCCCTCAAAATAAATACACTTTAAAAAAATAAATGAATTAATGAATTAACATTGCTCTATCTTTTTGGTAAAAACGCACTTTGGCATGAGTCCCTTATCTAAATTTAGAAGAGATCAGACTGGATTCAGATTTGTTCATGGACCAGTTTAAGACGAATTTCAGTGTGGATGTTGTGGGGTCCTCTGGGACCTTCCTTGGGCAGCCGTGCCTGGCCCGGGGCGGGGGGAGGGGTGGGGGGAGTCCTCATCAGAACTGGCCGGGTTTTACAGGCTCTGTAGCTTGGGGAATTTGGTTTCCTCCTGAACCCGTTATCCTAGTTCTCCAGCTATCAGGTGGGTATATCCTCTTGTAAGGGCCGGGGCAGGGTGTCTTACGTGTATCCATCCCTCTGCTTCTCAGGGCTTAACAACCGCTCGAGCTGCTGAGATCCTGGCCCGAGACGGCCCCAACGCCCTCACCCCACCGCCCACCACTCCCGAATGGGTCAAGTTCTGTCGGCAACTGTTTGGGGGGTTCTCAATGTTGCTGTGGATTGGAGCGATTCTTTGTTTCTTAGCTTACGGCATCCAGGCCGCCACAGAAGAGGAACCTCAAAATGATAATGTGAGTTCTGTAGTTCCTAACTTAGATGACAAAGTGTGCACAAAGTATTCTCCTGGTCTTTGCCACCCGCCAGTTTTCCACTGGTTACCACTGGTTGGCTGATGTTTTTTAAGCACGAGGGAAAAGCAGGGTTAGCAACTGGGGCCGTCGAGGCCCATCCATTCTTCTTCATTTGTGGTTTCTCCCTCCAGCTCCGGCCCTCTCGATGCTCTTCTGGGCTGGAGGTCCATCCTGCATGTCGCTGCTGTGACAAGGCGGCTCTGCCCAGGTCCCAGCCCGGGTCCGGCTGCCACTCATACGGCAGAGCACGGCCTTTAATGTTGGCACATAATACACATCCAGAGATGTGCGGTGGCCATCCCTCAGAAGTCACACGTTGTTTCAGAAACATGTTTGTCTTCATAAAATGGGAGAAACAGATTCACCTAAAAGATTTTCAAAAGTCTGTCGAGGTGGAGCGACCGAGTCCCTGGGACCCCATTTCTGGCACTCCTGTACACGGTCTCTGGGAAGCTGAATGTGAAGACACGAGCTCTGTATTGGATAATATCTGAAGCCTTGACCTCTCTGTTACAGATTTGTTTTGTATTCAGTCAAGAACTACCTGAATGTTCGCGACTCCTTACGGAGAGCCCACGCTTCTAACCTGTGTGTTCCCTTCCAGCTGTATCTTGGCGTGGTCCTCTCCGCTGTCGTCATCATAACTGGGTGTTTCTCCTACTATCAAGAGGCTAAAAGTTCAAAGATCATGGAATCCTTCAAAAACATGGTCCCTCAGGTACCTGCTGCTTGGTCTTTCCCCGTTGGCAGCCCCACGGGTGTGAACTAGTGTGAAGCTAAGTTCCCGAGTACTTAGTGACTCCGTCAGAGAAAGGGAAACTTCCCCCCCCCCCCCCCCCCCCCCGCCCCCCGCCGACCCAAAACCACACCTCTTCTTAGACCCCCGGCAGAAAGTGATGGCCTCCCTTCTGAGCATACCCTGACAGAGCACCCGAGGGGGACAAGAGAGCCACCTCCAGATGAGCGAGATTTTATAGCTTGTATAAGTAGAAAGATCAGCAATCTTTGTCATGCACTCGGATAATTCACATCAGCGATCATTTTCTAATTTGGCTTTCTCGTGTGACCACCACCCTGCCCTTGTCGGTAGTCGCTTTTCTCTGACTGAACGCTGTCAACCTTTCTGCCTCTAAAGCAAGCCCTTGTGATTCGAAACGGTGAGAAAATGAGCATCAATGCCGAGGAGGTTGTAGTCGGGGACCTGGTGGAGGTGAAAGGAGGAGACCGAATCCCCGCCGATCTCCGAATCATATCTGCCAACGGCTGCAAGGTGGGTTCAGCGGGGCCCGCGCGGCTCGGGCGGGGTGCGGGGGGCGGCCCGGTGTGCGCTCACACAGCCCTCCCGTCTCGCGGGCAGGTGGACAACTCCTCGCTCACTGGCGAATCAGAGCCCCAGACCAGGTCTCCGGACTTCACAAACGAAAACCCCCTGGAGACGAGGAACATCGCCTTCTTTTCAACCAACTGTGTGGAAGGTAGGCCCTTTGGAGGCCCCCGTTCATATCCGCAGCACGGTGTCTGTCTCGGGCATTCGCAACAACGACAAAAGCCAGAGACATCGTCTCTCTTCTTGCTTTATTGGCTCCGTGTCTGACCCCTGTGGTCAAGCACAGCAGATGCGGTTCACTCGCTGGCAGGGAGGTTCAGGAAGCCTGTGGGCGGTCTGTCCTGCTCCCCCATCCCCAGCACACATCTCCTGTTGGCCATGCTAGGCTGGCATGGACTTTGGAGCTGTTCTGCTCACGGATAGAAAGCCCTCTGCCGGTCTCTGAAAGAGCGTACCCCCCACCAAAGAGCGAGCCCTTAAAAACGTGTGTGGCTCGTGTCTCTCTCTTAACCGTGCCAAGTAATCGCGCAGATTCCGTGGCCTCGTTGGTGAAGCGAGGTACATCCAGTTCCCCCTCCCTCTCTCGTTTAAGGCACCGCACGTGGCATTGTCGTGTACACTGGGGATCGCACGGTGATGGGAAGAATCGCGACACTCGCGTCCGGGCTGGAAGGCGGCCAGACCCCCATCGCTGCCGAAATTGAACATTTTATCCACATCATCACGGGTGTGGCTGTGTTCCTGGGTGTGTCCTTCTTCATTCTTTCTCTGATCCTTGAGTACACCTGGCTCGAGGCCGTCATCTTTCTCATCGGTATCATTGTAGCCAACGTGCCAGAGGGTTTGCTGGCCACTGTCACGGTGAGCAGCTTGGGGAAGGCGACGTTCGCTCTTAGACCAGCTTGCATGTGAGACTCCTCCCCTGCCCTCTCCAGAGCGGCTGCCGACCACATGTCTGATCGGACGTGTGTGTGTATAGTTTTTCTTCAGAGCCACATGGTAGGGTTAGACAGCGAGAAGGCCTCGGCATGGTTTTCCGTGGGAGATAGTAGCCCCAAAGCATACGTTTCGGCCTTACCCCATGACCCACAACAGTGTAACGAAGAATTTGGGGGTGAGTGGGAGACCTACAGTGTGGTAAATCCTAGTTGTTTTCACTTCATCTATTGCTTTATTGGGGGGAGAGAGAAAGCCCTCTCTGTACGTGGTCCTGTGACAATTTGCATTTCACAGGATGGCTGGAGAGGTTTAACTTCAGAGAAACTTCTTCTGTATTAGGATGTAGCCAGAGTTGGTATAAGACTCCCTCCTGGTCGAGATTGAAGTCCTCTGCTTCCTCCTGGTGTTTAGGTATGTCTGACCCTCACTGCCAAACGCATGGCGAGGAAAAACTGCTTGGTGAAGAACTTAGAAGCTGTGGAGACCTTGGGGTCTACGTCCACCATCTGCTCGGATAAAACTGGAACTCTCACCCAGAACCGGATGACAGTGGCCCACATGTGGTTCGACAATCAGATCCACGAAGCCGACACGACAGAGAATCAGAGCGGTAGGTGCAGGGGGGGCCGCCGCACGCTTTGGCCCCACCTGTTCACATGGCTTTTTTTTTTTTTTTTAAGTGGTTTTTGGTTTTAGTTTTTTTACTGTTAGGTAAGGAGTCGTGGGCGTGGGTTTTAGACTTTTCTTGACTTTGCCCAAAAGCCTGATGAGTTTCATTACTTGGGAAAGGAGACGTCATCGTTTCACCTTTTATGGGACTTGCGTACAAAGTTGAATGTGTGATTTTCCACTCTTGTTTCCTTGCCTCCATCAGGTGTGTCGTTCGACAAGAGTTCAGCCACCTGGCTCGCTCTGTCCAGGATCGCGGGTCTTTGTAACAGGGCGGTGTTTCAGGCTAACCAGGAAAACCTGCCTATCCTCAAGGTATGCCCAGAAGTTCCTGTTAGCGGTGAGGCTGCTTTGCGGGGGTGTAGATACCACCCAAGACCTCCCCCGAGAGTGTTCTCCTTAATAGCACGTGACCTTTGTGTCCCGTAACGGAACCGTTCCTCGCATGACACTCGGAATGGCCCGTGTGATGCTTTGCTGTGTGTAGCTTGTATTGCCTGTGGATCCGGAATTCCCTTGGTTACCCTGTGGTTCAGAGAGGTTAGAGAAGAGGGACTTAGGGTCAAAACCAACCAGAGGTGGGAGGCAGTCTTCACTGTGAAAAACCGAACAAAATCCAGCCTTCCTCTACAGTGTCACCTAACCTAGCAGGGAGGGAGGGAGGGGCTGCTTCTGTGTGACTGGATGATCGCATTTGCATATCGGGATACAGTAGATTCCAATAAATCCCTTAAGCCGTGTGTTTTCTTAAAATAGCTCAGCTCTTTCTCTTATCTTATTTGTTCTCCACTTGCTTACTGATGATGCAGAACTAAGCTCAGCCTCATGGAATCCATGGGAATTGGGAAATGGCTGTGATTTCACTGTGCTGCCCAGTGGAGACACAGCCTCAGAAAGGTCACGAGCCGAGCATGGGGTTGGTAGAATGAGGAAGGCATGTGCAAGGTCCCCCAGGCTCGCCTGTTCTCAGTGAGGCTGCCTGGGGTGCTTCCAGGGGGGTGGGGGTGGGGAACCAAGCTGTCAAAGAGGATAAAGCTCACTTAGATGGAACAGAGATGGCTTCCACTGTGAAGATAGGACCCCTTTGTCCTTTAAGGGAGATGTTCTTGGCATTGAATTGATGTCGATTTGGGGAGGGGGGTGTTTCTCCTGGGATAAAACTTGAGATGCCTGCCTCCCATATTTCCTTGCGTCACAGTGGAAATTTTGTAGGCTTTGAGCTTAGAACTCAACAGGTATCAGACCTCTCCCAGTTTAAAAGTGCCAGAAAAGGGAACATGGGCTGTATTTCTGAGTATTTCAGGGGTTGCACCCCACAAAAGGCACGCAGTCCTGTTCAGCTTTACTAACTGGCCTTTATTAAAAATGATCCCACTTATTTCACATTTCCTACCAAACCTGACTACCTTTCTTCTTAAATGAGGCTACACTTGCATGTGCAGTCCTGTACGGCCCCAGTTCTAAAGTATTTATATAAAAGTTGGCTACAAGTCCAAATGTTCTTAGTGTGTCAAAGCATACATGTGTCAACAGTATATCACAAAAAAGAAGTATGTGTTACCTCAAGTGTGGTCTTGAACTGAAGATGTTAGCTGATTATATGACTGTTGGAGCTAATAATAGCTTTCAGTTCACACCATTCAGGCCCAGATAATTTTGCACAGTTGAATTATGTTTAAAGTTCTCTGTTTTGCCCTTGACACAGTTTGCCCCCAGTCCTGGGAACGCACCTAAGGGGTTTTCTTTTACGTTGGAGGTGCTGTAAATATTTGGATTCTCACTTGATATTTGCAGATTTATAACCAGAAATACGTGTTTGGGAATAGTGTTGGCTTTGAGACTTTGCAACAGGGGAAGATTAAAAAAAAAAAAGGCTAAAGTAGGTTGGAAGCATGTATTATGGTCTTCCCCAGGGTGGGGGACCCCTCGAGGCACCCCTCTTCTACCAGAAGCCGGATTTGGGATGACGAAGGAAGGCTGACGGGAGGAGGCAGCTAGGGTGTGTGTCTGAAGGGCTGTGACCGGCCGGGGGTCTGAGCACAGGGAGGCCCGTCCCTGCCAACAGCACTGCTTCTGCCTCGCCCACCCGGTCCTCCACTTCTGACACGATCAGAGTACATCTGGGTTACACCGAGTTTTCCGTGGTGCCTGGGTGAAGCGTTTCAGGCTAATTAAGAACGATGTCTGCGTTCACAGCGGGCAGTTGCAGGCGACGCCTCGGAGTCCGCGCTCTTGAAATGCATTGAGCTGTGCTGTGGCTCTGTGAAGGAGATGAGAGACAGATACACCAAAATCGTGGAGATACCCTTCAACTCCACCAACAAGTACCAGGTCACCTGGTGTCGGTGCGGGTGGGCGAGGGGGTGGGCGGGGAGGCACGGGAGCTGGAAGAAGGGCTGTTTGACCTTTTTGAAATGTTACAAGCTTCCACGCTTCCTAAAACCGAACTATTCAAACTTCATGAAAGCTTTTAAGTTTTACCCCAGGCTGCGTATAGAAAGTCCTAATGTATTTGAGTATTATTAGGCTAAACGAAGCCTCCCCTAAAATGTTTGGGGCTCTCTGGGATACTTACTAACGGTTTGGAGGGGGTGGGTGGGGAGGGGGCTGGGTGTCCAGGGATGTGCCCATCGTTGTTGCCACTGTCCCTTCAGGAAAGCTTTAGATACGAACCCGTGCCAGGGATTTCGGGCTGGGTCACTATGCTTGCTTTTTTGGTAGCATTCAAAGCAGGCTACAAGGTGGGAGACCCCAAAGTTCAGATGTAGGAGGTTTTGGTGGTTTTCATGACCGATACCCAGGAGCCAGTGAGCTGTGCTCCCCATTCGGGCCAATGACGCCCAGCCACCTGGCGTTCACGTCTCCACTGTCCTTTATAGCTGTCCATCCATAAGAACCCCAACACGTCTGAGCCCCGGCACCTGCTGGTGATGAAGGGCGCCCCGGAGAGGATCCTGGACCGCTGTAGCTCCATCCTCCTGCACGGCAAGGAGCAGCCCCTGGACGAGGAGCTGAAGGACGCCTTTCAGAACGCCTACCTGGAGCTAGGTGGCCTCGGAGAGCGTGTGCTAGGTATGTGGGCAGCCGGCGGCACAGCCACCCGCCCGGTCCGCGTCTGCACGTTGTGCTGACCTCTCCAAAGCCTTTCGGGAGGAATCCTCCTCCTCGATCTGCCCCCTCCCCCTTGTTCTGAAAACCACAAGGGCCGGGCTGGGGAAATGTTTGGTGCATTGGGCCCGTGAGCAGCAAATTCCTGCTGGTTTGCTTCTGATCCGTACTTAGACCTTTGGTCTCATGCTGGTCAGTTCTGTTTGCCCGGGGAAGAAAGATCGGGGAGAAGAGCTTCATTATCAAACTTTTGTTGCCATGACCCTGACCTACAAACTTAATGAAATTAAAATGAATTGCCAGGGCTTCCAGAATAAAACCGTTTCCTGACTGGCACAGAATGGTTGTGCGTTTACACCAGAGCTTATACGTCAGCTCACAAATTAGATTAACGGTAAACTTTTCACCTAGGATGCTGCCTGTCCTTCCTACCACATCAGAGCCGGTGCAGATCAGAAGGACGTTTCACTGATTGTATAATGTAACTGAAACGGTGGCATTTGTGATATTTTGGAGGTGGACAGATGAAAGTTCCTTATGTAATTCTTCCTGCTCTCCTTAGCTTACTCAGAACTGATTGCCTAGTTCCATACTCTGGTTCATACCTTCTCCTTCATCTAATTTTGAGGTGTCTTTCTTAACATACCCTGGTGCTCAGTAATACTAAAGGAATAGCGAGCAGAGATGTGGGCTCGGTTTTTTCTTTTTTTTCCTAAAAAAGGAAGCAGATGAGGCACCTGGGTGGCTCAGTCGGTTAAGCGTCCGACTTTGGCTCAGGTCATGATCTCACGGTTTGTGGGTTTGAGCCCCACGTCAACCTCCGTGCTGACAGCTCAGAGCCTGCAGCCTGCTTTGGATTCTATCTCCTTCTCTCTCTGCCCCTCCCTCGCTCGCTCTCTGTCTCTCTCTCTCTCTCTCTCAAAAGTAAATAAACATTAACAAAAATTTTTTTAAGAAGGAAGCAGAGACCAATAATTACATGCTTCCCCAAATCTGAGTACCTGAGCGGGCGGGTCTAGAAGCCTGAAATCCTGGGGCTCACCTGCCTCCTCCACATTGGACAATGCCTCCTCCTTTGAGGCTTGGTGATGGATTCTGTCATTCGCATGTTTTGTCTTCCGGTGATTCCACATCATTCATAAAGGTTAAATAAAGCCTCATTCTGTTACAAAAAAATAATTCCCACTATATATGGAGCCGGAGGCGGACTGTCGCCCTAGCCAGCTGCTGTTGTCCTGTGCCTGTTCGGTCAGGGAGGTCCTCACGGGCTGCCTGCTCTCCTTGCAGGTTTCTGCCACCTTTATCTGCCAGACGAACAGTTTCCTGAAGGCTTCCAGTTTGACACTGATGATGTGAATTTCCCTGTGGAAAACCTCTGCTTCGTGGGGCTCATCTCCATGATCGATCCTCCTCGGGCTGCTGTTCCCGATGCCGTGGGCAAATGCCGAAGTGCTGGAATTAAGGTGGAGCCCAGGGTGCCTCCTTGGCATCAGCTTTTAGTGCCCCGGGGCGCCCTGCTCGGTGCCGCGGGAGCCACACGGCCTGCTTGATTTCTCACCTGGCCGATGAGTGTCTTACCTCCAGCACTTCAGTTATCACCAGAAAGGGCCAAGTTGTTTTAAAAGGGTATCATCAGTAGATGGGGGGGGGGCAGGTTTAAAAGAAAACACACACACATTTTGGGGGAAAGAAATGGAAGCGTAATAATATTTGAAAAGAGCAAACGACTTAGCAAGGTTTTACGTTTTGAAATGCTTGGCAGTGCATGGCACGTCTTCTCTGCTTTCAGTCAACCGGTTTTCTAATGGACGGCGTCCTCTGAATCTTTCTAAGCCCCGGAACGTTGTTTGGGTGCACCGACCCGGGGCGCGTCGTCTCCCTTGGTGCCGGCTATCTGATTTGTTTCCGCTTTTTCATTCTCGTTAGTGAGACTGCCCCTCAAAGCTTTGGAAAAGTTACTCCCCCACCACTCGGATTGCGTTCTTAAGTATATTTTTCGGAATGTAATCCTTGGGTCAAAAAAGAGCAGTCACAATTTTGAATTCCTTTTACATACTTACCCTCTCTCCCGAATTGGGCCAGTTTGGGGATTGTTGATCGGCAGTATGTGACATCTTTGCCTGTTAGTGTGATCCGCATCAGATTTTTATCTTTTTTTTTTTTTTCCTTTTCATGGCTAGTTTTAGTAAGTTTGAGTTTTTTATGTGACTGTGTAAAGGAGAAGCAGATACCATGTATCCTGTGTGAACATGTACCAAGATTAAATCTGGTTATTGTTTTGTGTTTTCTGTAAACACACGTTTGTGTTTATGTTTTTGGTTAGTCACTGTTGTATCAATTTAAGTTTGCATTCTTTCCTTTTGATCTTCCAAGATGAGTAATCCTTAATACTTCCTCGTGCCTGTTTACAGAAGACTCTCTTTGAGGTCATTTCGCTTGGCGGCTGCCTTTGCTAAATTGTCCTGTTTCTTGTTCAGGTTATAATGGTCACTGGAGACCACCCCATCACTGCCAAAGCCATTGCCAAGGGTGTGGGCATCATCTCAGAAGGCAACGAGACCGTGGAAGACATTGCTGCCCGCCTCAACATCCCAGTGAGCCAGGTGAACCCCAGGTGAGGCAGGAAGCTCGAGGCACGGTCTGCCTTGAATGTGCAAATGCTGGAAGTTGGGAGTCATCAGCCTGGGTCTCCGATGGTTTGCTTCCAGGCTTGCTCCTGAATAGGGATTGCCCCTACGGTTCCAGAAGGCAACCCTGTCCTTCCACGGAAGGGTTGCCCTGAGAGCGAGTCCTTATGGCCAACCCCTAGGTGGTGCTTACGGTTCTAAGCACTTGGCGCAGTAATGTATTAAAGTAGGTATTATTCCCACTTGGCAGAGCAGGGAAGCTGAGGCTTCGTCCTGAAGTACGCTCTGCGGCCGGGCTTCCGATTCCCTGCTGTTAACCGCAGATCATACCGCCTAAACCTAGCAGCAAGTCAGTTTCTAGGGCCACACTCACTTGTCCAAGTAGGTCAAACATGGAGAATTCGGCAATACGGTAAACTAGATGAGAGATAAAGCAGTATTGTTTTGATGTTTCGTTAAAGTTTGGGACCCCTTCACCTACTTCAGGGTTATTAGAGGGTTTGTTCTGCTGTCTAGAATTTGGTCCTTTTACTTGAGTGCGTCTTCTATAAAGACCAGGAAAGGAAAATGACAGGCAGGCTGCCCCCCAGGTGTCTGTGATCCTTGAATGGAAGGAATAGAGTAGAAGATGCTTTGTATCCTGTAGAATACTGCACAGAGAATCGCTTTCACCTGATGGGGAAAATTCCCTCTGGCTTTACGTTGCTTACAAAGTGTTCTGCATCGAAGAACAGCCCCGCTCGGTGACGAGCATCATGTTGGCGAAGCACGGGGTGACCTCTTTTCCTATCCCGATCCTAGAGATGCCAAGGCCTGCGTGGTCCACGGAAGCGACCTGAAGGACATGACCTCCGAGCAGCTGGATGACATTCTGAAGTACCACACGGAGATCGTGTTTGCCAGGACCTCTCCTCAGCAGAAGCTTATCATCGTGGAAGGCTGCCAGAGACAGGTTAGCGGGCAGCCGGGACCGGTCTCTGATCTCCGTGACGGCAGGGCCCGGCTTTTCTCAGACTCACCGTCTGTGTGCCAGTGTATG